GAAGTAACGGCCAACAAGAATATGGGATAAATGACCTAATTCCAGGGCATGTACTCGAACCGCACCGGCAGCAGTAGCCATAGATTAAGGATGATGGCGCGTCGGTTTTTATCATGAGATTGAGAGGAATTACATTGGCTCCATTGTCGGCGTTAATTCGAAGATGGCGGCTTTCGTTCGAAAGTCGACATTTCGTCGAAGGCACCACACATTTCGCGAGTGCACTGAGATTTTAATCCTACTAGTTGATTGCCTTGCTTGCTGGCCACTGTCTTGCCACCGATAGTGCCGGAGTCGACTGCGACGACGCGGCAGCGATCAATCCTGCGCTAGATAATATGAGCTGTTGGATCCAGTGCAACGACATTAAAGCAACCGGCGGCAACCCCCTGGACGACCCTTCCTTCAACTCGGACTGCAGCGTAGAGAAGATCGAAATGGTCGACGGTGTTGTGGCCAGCACCGGCTCCTGCTTCGACAGCTGGATCTTCGGCTACGCCGACCCCCCGGAGCTCGCCGGGTTCTACCACAACGACACTTCCACCAGCGCCGCGAAGTGCCAGTTGCTTTGCCAGAGCGATGACAGGTGCGTCCGATTTCAATTCACCACAACCAGCTTGGGAATGAGCACTGCCGGCGTGCCCAGCTACCGCTGCGTTCTCAAGAACGCCGACCAGGTGGTCAGTATACTCGAGGGCGACCCCGGCGGCCAGGGCTTTAATTCCGACATCTGCGACACTCAGTCGACCAATGGCTGCTCCACCGTTGGCGATTGCCTCAAGTGCGGCGGTGAGTCGCGCTGTGCGTGGCGCAGCAACCTCCATGTGAGTGGCTGGCGACATTGCAGGGATGTACGAGATACCTGCGACCCCCAGCACTCCTGTACCGAGTACGACCGCCACCACGACCGAACTCGCCACAACTACTACGACCAAGGCGACGACTACTACGACGAGGCCGGTGACCGTTACTATCAAGTCTAGTGAGAATACCACAACTACGGGCGGCGGCGGCAACGGTGCAAAGATTGCTACGGGTGTGGTTAGTGCGGCTGGCGGTTTGGCTCCGCTCGGTGGCGCCCTTCGGTACTTCAACCGACCCGCCGAGGACACGGACGCCGCCTTTGTGGCGGATGAGGCGCAGATGCCTGAACTCAGAGAGCGCGAAGCCGCAGCGACTAGACATGTATGCGTAGGCACCTTTTTTTGGGATGGTCAGTACTACAGCGCCGTCTGAGACGGCATGTACGGCTCGCCAGGGCCAGTGGGCAAGGTCGGCTTTCAGTTGTTATGTCTCGCCGCCGAAGCGTTTCACGAACCACGGAGGGAGTTGGCAGCCGTAGCAACGCAAGTCAGCAGAATCGACACCGAGGGCTCCTCCCACGACGCAGGCAGCGCCGCGTCAGTGGCGGACCAGTTCGACACAACAATGGCGATAGCTGCTGGACTGGTTGCTGCTGACGTGGGTTATGCGTGTATAGGGCGCTTTCCAGAGTCGGTACGCGAGCTTAACTCGCGCGAGCAGCAGGCCTGGGAGGATAAGCCAGCGAAGTGCCAGCTCCCGCCATCACAAAAGAGGAGTTTGAGCAATGGGCGGATGACGTGGCGATGGCTGTCGGTGAGCAGTGCCACTAGATCCACGACGGAACGCTAGTAGTCAGATTGTGGGCTTGGATGCCAGCCACCGTCAGAGTGCGTTTGAATGGGTGTAGAGAGGCTTTGGAGTGGCAGCAGTAGAAAGGATTTTGTCGGACGTAGCCAGGTCCCTATACCAGGACAGCACTCTGCTTAGCCGGTGCTTCAGGTCCTGCGTCTACCCGGCGCCGGAAGAGGTTAGTTGCCGACACGACTGCACCGCCTGACGAGGCTGCAGGTCCGTCACGGCACACGGATCACGATTCCGGGGATGCTGTTGCAACAGTCCATTCCGAGCACGGCGGCAGACAACAGGTGGGCGAAAGAGTTCCACTTCGAGTGCATGAAGGGCGATGGAACAATGATAGAGGTCCTCCATAAGCTCGTACCGCTCTCGGAGAGAGCGAGACCGGTCTTCTTCGCCGCGATGAAGTGGCCCTGAGAGGGTCGCGATAGGGTTCCAGCAGGATACAGGCGCAGAGGTAAGCCTGATGAGGAGAGCGGATTGCAGTCGCGCTGGCGTAAGAGTGTCGCAGCGCCGACGGCAAGTAAGCACAGTGATGAGTTCAGGATCACTACTCGTGACGGAGCCAGTGCCGGTAACAGTGCACAGCGAGACGGACGAAGTAGAGTTCGCGGTGCATGACCAACCGTCGGTCCCGAACCTCCTGGGGAGGGTAGAATTGGAACGGTTTGACTTGGTTGAGAGAAGGTCCGGGAAGGCGTTGGTCCTGGCGGCGCAGAGAGGCGCAGTTGATGAGATACGGCTTGCGGAGAAGTACAAAGGGCAGCCACCAATAGTGGAGGAGCAGTCGGAGGATCCCTTCGAGAGGCAGCGGCAATTATTCGTGGAGGCACGGGACACCTGGACCAGAGCCTAATGGATGAGCTGTGGAATCTGTTGGTCGCATACAGAGACGTATGGGAGAGCCCGAAGGTGGCGTGCGTCAAGTACGAGGCGCGTTTCGAGGCAAGCGGCGAGCCGTACAAAGCGAGGTTGAGACATCTCGAGCCTGAGGAGGTGCTGGACGATC